AAAGAGGGATAGTTTTCTTACTGCTGAAATAATTGAACACTTTCTCAGCTTTTATAGAGGGATTTATCTTGGAGTTCAGATGGCAAGCTATTATTCTTACTCCCTGCAATCTAACAATAAAAGTGTGTGCCTCCCTGATGTGAAACCAGGTGCTGCATTTCAGGCACCTATGAAGAATATGGTGCATCAGCAGGGAAGTCGAATCGGCTAACTACCAAACTGCTGACTGAGTATGGAGACACCTGCAGAGAGCACATCCCTGGCTGGTTCAAAAAATTTCTCAGAATAAGATATACAGGAATAAAATCTAGGAGTCCAGACTTTGTGGCCTTGCAGGTATATTGGCTGAAATCCTTCTCTTCACCCTTTCTTTCTGGGCAAGAATGTTTTGTTTTAATTCCAGTTCAAGCCATCAGTTATCTGTGAGACAGTCCCCCATAACCCTCTCTGGAGGTAACTGGCAGGGTAAGCAGGGCTTATCACCTTTCCTGATGTGGCTGGGCATTGCAAAGCAAGATGCAAGATTAATGGGGCCAGTGATGGCAATGAAGGCTCACAGGAGACTTAAGTTCCTGTCCCTGCACCAAAATCTATTTATCTGCTTTACCTAACAACATGCTTAGTGTAGTGAGGTTGCTGTGGCTTTTAAAGAGTAGTAATATCATGGTGTTTTCAGGGTATGTGGTCACAGGCCTTGTCTTGTAAAAGTGTAGGAGTCCTTCAGTCACCCAACCCAGCCATGGATGCAGGAAAAGCAGCAGAGCAGTCCTGGGGCATTTCCATGCATCCTCTCTCTGCAGATGGAGTTCCTCCCATTTTCCTTCTCCCATTCTTCCCCCTTCCCTCTTTCATTCCTCCCTTTCCATTCATCCTCTGCCTGTGTGCCCATCCCTTTTCCATTGCACACCTCCCCTCTGCCCTCAGGAGTGAAGCTCTGCTCCTGTCAAAGAGCAGCCTTTTTGACTTTGAGGCTTTGCACAGCCTGGTCTAGTGGAAGATGTACCTGCGCAGAGCAGGGAGGGTGGAACCTGGTGATCTGTAAGGTCCCTTACAACTTAAACCATTCTGTGATTCTAGGCAAGTATTGGAAGCAGTGTCTCCCAAGCAAACTCGGCTGCTTTAAGTACTCCTCAAGTGCATGTCATAACTCTCCTCAAGCCTGGCACTCCCCTTCCAAGAGCCTTGCTGTTTATCACACAGAGCAAACTTAGGGGCAAATTGATTTGTTTGTTTGTTTTTTTGTTTTCATTTTTTTACTCCTTTAAGCACTAGTGGTAGTAAGGAATTAGTGCTTGCCTCTGTACCACAGGGTCAGGAACACTTCTATTTTGGTACAGCATTAAGCAGAAGCATAGTTCTTGCTAAAAATGAGGAAATTAGCCTTTTGAAGTGAGGGCTGTTCTTCAAAGTGCATGAAACTTGAAAACCACAAATTGCAAGTGACCAGCTACTTCTCTTGTGATGACAACACCTGCTGGCACTTTGTGATTCCTTGCTATCTTCATATGTGTTTTTTGCATTTCCCAAAAGGAAATCAAGGAAGACAGATGTGGGGGAAAAAACATACCTTCCTTTAAAAAAAAAAAATTTAGAAGTCTTACATCATCTTTTCAACCCAGAATTCAAGTAAAAAGCTATGGGCATCACATAAAAGATACACAGCAGATTGTTTCATCAAACGGAAACTAGTGACTTTGGCATCAGTTTGAGAATTTTATTAAAACCATAAGTTTCCATTCTGTACAAAACTGAGGAGCTTTCTTCCTTAAAAAAAATGTATCACACTCATTATTTCTTATGTGGCTAAGTGGTTTGTTGATAAAAATCTTTGAAAGCAATATACAGGATTAATACAACTGTATTAATGTAGAGACTGTCAGCAACTTTAGCAATATATACAAACTACCTTTACACACAAACATCTTATATACAGCTAATAAATAACATCCAAAGCTAAATCATGTGTCCTCATGTACAAGAACCTTCACTGTTTTGTATCCAAGTTTTGTATGTGTTTGTATTTGATCCTGTATTAAGAGCACACCTATTCAGACACTATTTCCAAAGAACTCAACTCTTAAGAGAAAACTGCAACAAAATGTGAATTCTATGGGGAAAAAAAATATTTATTTTTAGAGGGCTCAAATCCAGTGGCTCAATACTCAACCCCACCCTCAGTGACTCATCACATCTCTGCTGTAGTTTAAGGGTTAGGAAATCAAATGTAAGCAATTCCAGAGTTATTAATATTCCAACTTATTGCACTGTTAAGACATTTATCCCCAAATATACTAGCAGCCACAGCTGGAATATGCACAAACTGTGCACATAAATGCATACCTATTGGTTTTGCTTTCAGGATGGAATGATATGGAGAAATCAACACCTGCACACTGTCTTGCACATGCAGCACCCATTGCTCTCATCACACTTTTCTAAGTGTCCACCTTCAAGTCCCTCTGCCTCCCTGGTAACTTTATCTTCTATAAAGGTAAAAGAGGGCTATTGAATCTCTCAGAGCACTAGAAAAATTACATGTTACTTTAAAAAGAAGAAAAATACCTTCAATGTATCTATTTTTGGCAACTTACTGCACATCTAACTCAAGTGTTATTCAGAGCATTCTATGTTTTGCATCACACAATCTGCCACCTTTTAATTGTCAGTTCCTGCTCTCTGCTGAATTCCACTTCATGTGAGAAACCCAAGCAGTTCCTAGAATCTATTGCTATGTCATAGCCAAGCAATAAACTCAGGAGGGTCAATGCCAGTCACAATTCCAGTACAGGGAAGCATGAGCATGTTTGTCACCTGTCAAGTAGATTCACTTGCACAAAGACAGCATACAGCAGTCACTCAGCTGCATGACTGACATCTGGTGTCAAAAAGCAGAGAAACTGTGACAATTTGGGTACACAGGATGTAAGCAAGTGGTGTGGGGGAAGGAAAAAAAAGTTTCTTGCAGTTTCTGGTAGCTCAATTCCTTTTCAGTTCCTCATTCAAACGTGTTGGTTTTGTTTCCAAGGAATGAAAGCAGAAGTGTAAAGCTGGATGTTTACATAGGATACTGGTATTGCTGTTTTCTCTTACAACTGCTATTTATTCCAGGGTAAGCTGCATAGACGTATATAGCTTAACAGACCATACCTATTGTTAAGCACCACTGGCATCTACCTCCAGTAAAACACATTCGTAACCACAAACTAGAAAATTCATCCCCTTAAGTCAGTCCCTGACACCTTTTAGTAATGCACACAGCAAACATGTTTTTTTCATATTAGAAACCTACTCATTTGCTAAACACACACTTGAAGACAATAAGCTCTAGCCACTGAACTGTCTAAAAATTCAGTTAGCCAAGCCAGAAAAAAAACATGTCCAGTTTCAGAAGACTCCTGAAAAGAAAGAAAACCCAGGTATAGGGCTTTGTTTCTTTTCAATAAATACTAGAAAATGGCTATAGAGGGTTTGATGTCAGGAAACTTTGTCACAAGGCACCATGATTAAGCAGAATTACTTACTCCTTCCCAGCACTCAAGCCTTCGGCAAGTTGTTTTGCAAGTTTCTTTTTAACTATTTGGCTAATTTATCTGTGTTAGTAACTTTGTATGCTGAGGCTTCCTTACAAGAAGTCTCCTAAGATAGCTAGGAATAGAAGTCAAAAAGCCAGCAGTGGATAAATATTTCTATATATTTGGTTCTGAACATCCAGTCCATGGGGATGAACAGACTTTCTCCTCCTCCCCACTTTGGAAAAATCTTCATTCTTGTCACTTAAGCATATTCATGAGCAGAATTTTCTTTAGAGGCCTTCTTGGCACTGTAAAGGG